CCCCAAAACCCCAAAACCCCAAAACCCCAAAACCCCAAAACCCCAAAACCCCAAAACCCCAAAACCCCGATATTTTGGCATAATTAATTAGTTTCGGAATGGAGACAACCAACCTAGACATTACTGATAAAATGCAAAAACTTAAATTTGGAGATGAAGAAGAAAAGCAACTTTCAAAAGAAGCTAAGGAAGATGAAGTACAGATTGGAGAAGGAGTTCAGACTTGGAAGAGAAACCAAGAGAGCTCTTTCCTCTGTTCAACTAAATCATGGGATGATGAGGAGATGGCCATCCCTGAGAAGATCAAGCAAGCTCTGAGAGATGCTGAGGTACTGAGACCCAGTAAAATTCAGGCTACAACAATCCCTCTGGTCGCTAATGATGTGACAAGAAGTGTAGTAGTTCAATCTAAGAATGGAAGCGGCAAGACCTTTGCATTTTCATTATGCTCGCTTCTAAGAATTGACCCGGATGAGAAGGGTCTGCAGATTCTGATTCTAGCTCACACAAGAGAGTTAGTCAGCCAGATATGGGATCAAATCCAGATCTTGAATAAGTATACTGAGTATTATATCACTCAGGTTCGGAGAGAAGATAAGAAGCCTCAGGTCGGACAAATAACAGTGATGACTGCCGGAAAGTGAAAAACAATGTTGAAGCACAAAAAGATCAAATTTGATACTCTTAAAATGGTAGTGATTGATGAAGCAGACCATTTCTTTGGCAGTCCTGAAGACAAGGCAGTGACCACTAGACTTCTCCAACAGATAGACACTGAGAAGAAAGATGTACAGAAGCTATTCTTCTCAGCTACATATAAAGATGATGTGAAGGATGCCATAGAGGCAATTATTCCTGAGAAATCAGTATCTATCAAAGTGAAGAGCAAGCTTACCTTAGATGGGATCAAGCAGCTTTACTTTGTAGCGAAGGGTGTCAGAAAATTTGACATCATCGAAGACCTTTACAATGAGTTTGACAATACTCAGATGATTGTGTTTGTAAATACCAAACGCTTTGGAGAGAAAGCTCATGAGCATATGACAGACAAAGGATACAAGTCTAGTATTATCACTGGTAATGTTGACCCAATCGACAGAGATAATATCATGACTAAGTTCAGGAACAGAGAGTTGCAGTTTATATTTGCAACCAATGTGCTATCTAGAGGGATAGATATTTCAGACATGAAATTGATGATTAATCTTGATATCCCATTTGTTAGAGATGCAGATGGGTTTGAAAATGCTGACTACGATAACTACCTTCATAGAATTGGTAGAACTGGAAGATTTGATACCAAAGGAATTGCATTGACTATTATTGACGGCCATACTAGAAGATACGATAAAGAGATGGAGTGTCTTAAGCAGATCCAAGAACATTATGGTACTGATATTCAAGAACTTAAGAGTATTGAAGACCTTCCTAATATTTATAATGAGCACTGTAATAATGAATAATAAATTTTAAATAAAACTAGGTGATTTTCAATTGAGGCTAATTATTTAGGGGTTTTGGGGTTTTGGGGTTTTGGGGTTTTGGGGTTTTGGGGTTTTGGGG